GAAAGTTGGCGTGAAGGGTCCCCTTTGGAAATGAATTTGTCCAAGGAGAGTGGGAGCACATCATGGTTCGGGCTCATCGGGGCCATACGATGTGATGGATGCTTGTGCTTGTGCTCTGAGGCGGAGCAACAACATGGATCCTACGGGAACGTGGATCGTCAGGGGGTTTACATATGTACAAAGGTGACAGTTACATAGGACTTCGAGTCTGCCACGAGAAACGGAATGCGAGAGCAACGTGAGAGAGGTACCTATGCAAGCAGACATGCAATGCGCTGCACAGTACCTGATTATGATCGTCTCCAGTGTAAGCATTGCTCCATTTGTTCCTGGGATAAATGCGGTTCCTGGAACCAGCACGATCCAATCGTTGGCTCAATCCCTTTTCTGCATGACCTGAAGAGCGGATAACAAACTATGGAGCATCTCTTTTAATTCGGCCGAGACTGAAAGAACCATCGTATCGTATGCCTACATAAGTACTGTAGGTAGTACACAGTCGATGAGGCGCGTGTTTCAGTTTCCAGGAAGGGCAATTCGATCTTTACTTAGCGAGTTAGCCAAGCCGGGATCACGGAACTCATTGTTTAATCATTTGGTTTAGGTTATTTTATTCCCGCGTTAGCGTGTGCCTTTGAAGAAATTCTAGAAATACTGTGGTAGGGATATTATACTGTGTGGAGCGGTATGTGGGAACGATGCCGGAAATTTATCCCTGCCTTAGACTAATACATACGTACCTAGGTATGTCTAACCGAGCATGCGTATGCACTGTGATTATCCTGACGCGTACACAGGATAGACAGTTTCTTTATCCATAACGCGCTTTGGTTTCCAGTCTAGCAATTGTTTCAGCCACTGGAGCTGAACTTATCTATGTACTGTCTGTAATTTAGAGCATGGAGGATGTTGCAAAGCTATGAAGAATCCCGTCTAGGCTTATTGATATTTGGACCACCAACCTAAAAGGTCTTGCGCTGAATAGGAATTAATGAGTCTGATGTTTACAAAGTACGCATTCAGCATTATGGTGTTAGAACAGAATTGCTTCACGAGATAACACTGGAAACTCACGCAGCTTCACGTTATTGACATCATTGCTTTGGATTCTGCTAGCCAATATATCATACTTACATTCTATTCCACCTTGTTCCTCAGAGACAATACACCAGTAAGTGCACAATTACGCTTCTGCTTTTGTATTACTTGTTAGCCGATTAATCACTAAGCTGCGTATTAGCAGTGGACATGCCTTGGCTGGATTGCAATGCTTTTAATTAAGCTTAGAAAAACACGGTTCAAAACCTAGGTAGTATCAAATTGTGGCGAAAATAAAGATATTACTTGAATAGGAAAGCCGCCGGTTACACGCATGTGTTTACGTGCAATGCCGCCTCTATACTGCCCCCTACTAACCATTTAGCAATAGACAATTCAGTTAAATAACTCGTTGAGCCTCTCATGTCTGTCTGAAGCCTAACAGTTGACTCAACTCCACCCCATTTCCAATCTGTACATACCGTAGGAATTGCGTGGTTCTCAACAGCTCCATCATCAACATCCCATATGCCCACCTCTTACAAGTCTCATGATTGCAGGTCAATGGCCACATGCTCATTAACAGTGGGCAGAACTTCGGTATACCTAACCCGAATACCCAATATCCATGAATGGCATCTCCCGTGACATATTCCTTACCCCGGCCTCACAGCTCCAACCCCGCTACAAACCCCGCGATTCCCCCACTTGAGCTCGGTGTTAGCTTCCATTCATCCATCCTTCATCGCTTGAATACAGCCAGCATAACCTCACTTGATTGCCACTTCCATTGTGGCGGTTATCTTGGCAGCTGGTACTTAAGAAGCTTTGAATCACCTCAGATATCAGACCCGATTGATCAATAATATTTTCTTAATTAAGAACCACTTCATCTCATCTCGATAATACCGGATGACCCTCCGTCCATTACCATGTCAGCCAAACACTTTGCCAACGATCCAACCCACCTTGTCTCCTCAGCTCTCCATAGTCTCACCCTCACCAATCCGTCACTCGCCCTAGATCCAGACTTTAAAGTCATCTATCGTCGTCCTGATTCCAATGCCAAAGCACAAGTATCCATCATCTCAGGAGGTGGCTCCGGCCATGAGCCCTCATTCGCCGGCATGGTCGGCCAAGGTATGCTCTCCGCAGCTGTAGCTGGAACCATCTTCGCATCTCCCTCTGCAGAACAAATACGTACAGCAATCACCTCTCGTGTCGATACATCAAAAGGCGTCCTGGTCACCGTAATGAACTATACCGGTGACGTCCTCAACTTTGGTATGGCTGTTGAAAAGGCCAAGGCTGCAGGGCTTGAGGTTAAGATGGTGGTTGTTGGCGACGATGTTGGTGTTGGTCGTGCAAAAGCCGGAAAAGTCGGTCGCCGTGGAATCGCAGGTACAGTTCTCGTTCACAAAATCTCAGGTGCCCTCGCAGCTCTAGGAAAGCCACTTGATCAGGTTGTCAAATATGCACAACTGACAGCAGACAACCTCGTCAGTGTGGGCGCCAGTCTCGAACATGTGCATGTTCCTGGGCGAAAGGCCGATGCAGAGGGCAGTCTTGCGGCAGACGAGGTGGAGCTGGGAATGGGTATTCACAATGAACCCGGCTCTGGCCGTGAGAAGGCTGAATTGCCTGATCTCGTAAGTAAAATGCTCAAGCAATTACTCGACACCACAGACAAGGATCGAGCTTTTGTGAACGTTGATTCCAAAGAAGTTGTTCTCATGATCAACAACCTGGGAGGAGTCAGCGTTCTTGAGCTGGGCGGCATCACTGCAGAAGTTGTGAGTCAGCTTGAGTCAAATTACAGTATCCGGCCCGTGAGAATACTCAGTGGAACTTTCATGACCAGTCTGAACGGTCTCGGCTTCAGCATTTCCCTTCTTAATGTGGTGTCTCCTGATTTCGAAGCTCCGAGCATGATTGAATTGCTTGATGCTCCCAGTGAGGTGGTTGGATGGTCCGCACCCGTTCAGGCCAGCACCTGGGAAGCCAAGAATACCAATGCAAGAACCGGCCGTGCTGGTGCTGCAGGGGATATCAAGTCTAGTGGTCTAAAAACAGACCCCAGTACCGCGCAAGAAGCACTGAAGAAAGGCCTGCAAAAAGTCATTGATGCCGAACCAGAGGTCACCCACTACGATACTATCGTCGGAGATGGTGATTGTGGAATCGGTTTGAAACGAGGCGCTGAAGGTCAGTCCGACGCATTGGGGCCCCCTGGAAAAAGCTGTTCACTGACATAATACAGCAATCCTTAAGCACATTGATGAGCAGCCCCTTACCGGCGACGTTGTCGTGGATCTCTCATCAATCGTAACAATCGTGGAAACAGCCATGGATGGAACCTCTGGAGCTCTATATGCCATCTTCCTCAACGCCCTGGTTCATGCTCTTCGTGAGCTGTCACCCGGCACAGCCTCGCCCGAAATCTGGGCCAAGGCCCTCAAACTGAGTAGCGATGCTTTGGCTAAGTACACGCCTGCTCGCCCTGGAGATCGGACGTTGGTCGACGCCCTTCATCCTTTCGTGGAAGCTCTTAACCAGACAGGAGATGTCAAGAAGGCAGCTAGCGCAGCACTGGAGGGGGCTAACAAGACCAAGGGTATGCAAGCCAGCCTGGGTCGGACAGTCTATATCGGAGGCAGTGGCTATCAGGAGGTTCCCGATCCTGGAGCCTGGGGGTTGGCCAGCTTCTTCCTGGGCTTGAGCAGTTAAGCAGTCTTATGACCTCTGCTTCTGTCTCAAGGTCGAAGACGGAAATGTAAGCCAGTAAAGCCGAGGGAAACGGCAGTGTGCAAATATTTATAACACGTGTAATGAACAGAGTATGGTATGGGGAAATCAACATGTTTTCAACGCCTATGTAGTCCCTGTGAGTCTTGCCCGTAAGACATACAAACATCCCATTCTTAGATTCGAGCTCTCGCCGCCCCAAAATCATGACGGTAGTGAATTATTAGCTGAGAAGAACCAAAATGACGCTATCGCCTCGTAGGAACCTAGAGTAAAGTCAGTACCCATTTTCGACGCTCCTGTCACCGCTCATTGACAAGTTGTTGTGTTGTTGACGTACATCTTGCTGATGAATCTATCCTTGTTCACCGGGCGGCCCTTCTTCCCGTTTGCTAGCCGAGGGGTCTCTGTCCACATCTCCTTTACATTCTCCAGCACCATATTGCAATGGCGATCGAAGGCTTTGACACGCGCAAGGAGCTTGCGGTTGTTGCGGATGGAGATGAGCACTTGCACGTGCGATCGAACGGCAGTCTGAAGGATAGATAGAGGGCCGGCAGAGAACTCGTGTTCTTCTAGCTGGGCAATCTCGTACTCACTAAATGATGATGTGTTAGCAATCGAGGACTTGTCGCGGGGCTGGACGAAGAGGAAGAGATGCCTGTCACATACGTGAGTTCATTGCGCGACTTGCTGAGAAGCTCCCTAGTCAGTCTGTTAGTACTATGGAACTGAAAAGTAGGACTTGTTGCGACATACTGAATCTTGGGGTCCGTCGACATCTTGGATATATTCTGATAGTTTGGGATGTTGGAGATGCGCGCGCAAGGCTGAAGCCCAGATAGGTCAAAAAGTTGACCACGACTTGAGCACGTGTCTGATTGGCTGGTGGTACCGACCCACCTTTCGAGCTTCATGAGATGTCACGTGACGATAGTAGACAGTAATCCCTCCACCAAAAATGTGGCTGCTAACCTTGGTATGGGTTTTTGGGCTACTCGGCGGCTTGTTGCGGACGGTTGAAAAAGCATTGCCGCGGACCTCGGACAAGACTCCAAAACCATCTTATACCCCCTCTTCCTTCACCTCGATGCGCATGTCAATCGCATGTGCGCATCGCTAATTCTTCTTCTCATACAATGTCATTTCGAACTTTGACAGTCCGAGCTTGTGCCTCAGCTAATGTTGCAAACCGGAGCTCACCAAGAATCTTCAATATGGTCCAGCAATCAAAGATTCTGAGCTCCTCGCTCGGTGCACGACAGGTGAACACAATTATCTGGATTTTTTATTGCCATTGATTCTAATTTAATGCCGTAGCTTTCATCCGAAGCCACCAACATCCGAGAAAAGCGAGGCGATAGTTCAAATGATGTAGTTTTCGAGAGCAAGTATGGCCTACGAACCGTCATGCTCAACCGGCCAAAGAAGCTCAACTCACTCGATGCCTCGATGATCCGAAAGATTGTGCCCCGACTAATCGAATGGGAAAAGTCCGATCTCGCCAATGTTGTCGTTATGAAGGGTGCTGGCGAAAAGGCCCTCTGCGCTGGAGGTGACGTTACTGCGCTCGCCCACCTCAACTCGGAGAGTGAGGACGGTTGGCAGAAATCAGCACAATACTTTGCCCTCGAATATAAGCTGGACCACTACATTGCGACATACAAGAAGCCCTATATCGCTTTCATGGATGGTATCACTATGGGAGGTGGTGTTGGTTTGAGTGCCCATGCTCCTTTCAGAATCGCGACCGAGAAGACCGTCTTTGCCATGCCCGAGACTACAATTGGATTCTTCCCCGATGTCGGCGCTTCATTCTTCCTTCCTCGAATGAACGGATCTGTCGGGACTTTCCTTGCGCTTACCAGCGAGCGACTCACTGGCCCCAACGTCTTCTACTCGGGCATTGCCACCCACTACCTGCATTCAACCAGCTTGCCTGATCTAGAGGCACGTCTAGCCGAACTGCGGTTCCGGGACAGCGACGGTTTGCCTGAACGACTGGCACTCATCAACCAAACTCTTGAGGAATTCTGTACCGGTCTTCCATATGACCAGCCCATAACCTTGAGCGGCGAGATTCGCAAGGCAATCGACCGATGCTTTAACAAGCACACCATCAGTGAGATCATTGCTGCCTTGCAGGCTGAGCGGGGTCCAACTGAGGAGTGGGCGCAGAAGCAGCTCAAGACTCTACACAAGCGATCACCTACAGCTGTGCATGTGGCTCTTCGCCAGATGCGTGTGGGTGGTGAGTGGGACATCGCTCAAACATTTAAGAGGGAGCACCAGATTGCGACCAAGTTCATGCAGCATCCCGACTTCACCGAGGGTGTATCAGCGCTGCTCATCCGAAAGGAGGCGCCCAAGTGGCAGCCTGAGTCTCTCGAGGCCATTGGGGGCACAAACGTGGCCAAGCCCTTCTTTGAGTACGACTCCAATAATGAACTAGCCCTGTTCACCGATCGCACATTCAAGGAATATCCTCACCGGGAACTTGGTGTGCCATCCGAGAAAGAGATCGAGCAGATTCTGTCAAGGGGTACATATACCCAAGAGCAGCTGGCCAACAAAATTGTGTCGTCGCGCAACGGTCGCCAAGGCATCGCTGAGGTCGCCAGAGAGATTATCGCCCGCAAGACGGCAGTGGATGACCAAGGCAAGGCAGTTTGGATGGCGGATGAGTCGCTCCCTGGAAGCCGACTTTAACTCCTCACATGCTACCGATGCTTGAATAATAAAATGTAAAAATAGATGCCACTACGAGATGTAAATCATGTAGTGCGTGTGCTGATAGATGAATTGCGATGATATCAAGCGATAAGAGAAATGTGCTTCAAAATAGATGATGCTTTTTCCCTCCCACATGGGGTCACATTCATGAAGTCTAGAATGATCACGGCGAAGGTGGCGAACACGAGGCTTGAAGTGGGGTTGGGATGGAAAACAACAAGAATCATTCTGGCGAGAGATAAAACCTTGGCTGAAAAGTCTCATTCTGTAGCGACTTTGTTGAGGGACATGATCAGTGACCAAAGAGGGGCAGATGCAGGTAGGTAGTGGATGGTAAGATGGGGCGGGTATGTAAGCCGAAGAAGAAACACCAACTCATAATTTTTAGGCATGGCTAATAAAAGGATGGATAGATACAGATAGGAGAGAGAGAAACAAACGAAATGCGGAGATAAGGGAACAGGACCAGCAAGACGACCCAGTTGGCAAACTATCTCATGTAGGCAGGCACCCGGTAGAGTCTATTAGATGACCTCAGGCAGAGGGCAAGAGTATATAAGGGACGGTGTCCCGCCGCAAGAAGAGCCTCGAAAGAAAGACGAGACATCTCCGTCTTTCTCTGGCTCATTTCTACCCATTTTCCCGTCATCGAAGCAAGTCGGCAGTTACTAGGTTGGCCATAGCAAAACAGCCAGCGAAAAGGCTCAGGTTCACAACCAACTAGAAAGATACGTACCGTTTCAAAAGTACGACGACTTACCATTGACACAGGCGAACAAAGGTTTCGCTTCAGATAGCAAGGCACGTGAGTTCTGCACCAACTTGAACCAAGCTGCATTATCCGGCCCCACTAAACAGCTCCGTGTCGGAAGAGGTGGATCACGCACCGGCGAACCCTACCACCGCCCGGGCGGCGCGTCTAGAAGTCAAAGAATGCGCTAACTCACGTCACCGATGCAGGCACTAAAAGGGTAATTGACAGGGGTTATTGGCTCATCAACCACTGGAGTGACACGGCGACCCTCCATCTTTTCTTCAGTTTCATTCAAGCGGAACACGCCTTTGAAGCTGCATCACAACACACTCAAAGCATCTGTGACTTTTTTATTATTGATACTTCAAACTTGGGGTTTGGTTCGAGCTCTTCTTTTCTCTTATTGACCACAGTCCCGTCACTATATTTTCACCCTTTGTCACTATTTTCTCTATTTCCTGGTTGTCTAGCCAGCGCGCAAAACTATCGGCACGCACTTTAACTCGATCCACCTGCGCTCCACGACGCGATTTTGGCGGGTTAGAGCGCGTCACGAACATGACGCCCGCCTCCCGAATTTGATATCACGTCCCGGCCAACGAGCTCAAACATTAAACCTCCCCACTACTATTTCCTACGCATCGTTGAAATACCCACTGCCAAACTTCACCTCTTGACCTTTTACTTATTACTTCTCGGCCGTCGCTGCCTTGTCTCTACTTACATGATATACACCCACCATATACAACGACGACAGAATTCACGACTGATTCTTTAACCGCCATCTCTGACCTCCCCCCTGAGGGGACTAACCGCCATGGCTTCACCAATCCCCAATCCTGTTCAAGGCGGCTGGAATCACAACGGTCAGACGATGCAACAGAACGTGGAAACAAATGAAGCAGGCGTCCAAGTGAGGCCTATGGGCCGTATGCGAAATCAATGCGTCTGGTAGTTACCTTGCTAACTTGATATACAGTCAAGGTGCATTATACATTTGACAAGGAGGCCAAAATCAATTGCCTTGCTCGTTCAACACAAACCCTCTTCGTTCAAACAATTCCTCTCGATGAACAAAACTCTATTGGCATTGTCGACTTGAGAGCGTGTCTACATGCAATCACCGAATGCAGCCCGGAACTCGGAAACCAAGATAGTGAGGGCGACTACACTATTTACGCACTCGATTATTCAGAACCAGACACCCCCTTAGTTGGACAAGGCATGCTATCATGGGCACTCGATTCGATGCGTGGTGGTGAATGGCTCTCTCAGTCGCCCAAAATGGTAACTGGGCGTGTCACCAAGAACTTGCTTGCCGTCTTTGGAGGGGGAAACCGCGAGACAATCGAAGTCAAGCTCAAGTTCACTGTCGGCTCGAGGCTTCAAAGGCGAGAACCAAATGTTGACATGCCACCCGTTGAGATACCACCTCACCCTACGCAACCCACGCCTTTACAACCCGCTCCACTGCAGCCTGCCTCTCTGCCACCCTCCCGCTCTGCTGAAATGGCCGTAGCTTCTGGTGCCGCTGAATGGAGCTCTTTCATCCAGGCCAACCCTCATATCGGACACACAGCACATGTGTCTCGAGTGGCATCACCTGCGCTTTCTCAAGGCGCACCGCCTCCTGTCACAACTGAACGACGAGATTCGATAGGTCCCGCGATTAGTCAAGCCAACTCAGGATCGGATGTCCAACGCATAGCACCCATGCCCGTCCCTCCGTCAACGACCGCTGCTTCGACGTCAAGACCCTCTAGCAGAAGCTCCCGCAACAGGAAGCCGCCGACAGGGCGGCCTCGCGGTAGACCGCGAAAGAAGCCTGCCGAAGGAAACACTTCAGGGTACGAAGACGGCACCGAAGGCGAGGATGGCGGCTCAATGCCAGTAAAGAAAAGAGCCAGGCCGATGAAGGTCGAAAAGGCTACTCCTAACCCCTTCACTTCAGGCCCGGAATCTCTACGTGTCACTGCTAGTACCGCTGGTTCTCTTCGAAATTTCCGTCCTGTTAATGCAAACAATGAGGCAGTCGCTGGGAATCATCTACAGGAAGTTCCACGGGCTCCTACTCCCGTTCCCGAGGGAGGACCCCTGAACGGCCCGGCCCAGCCTGGCCCCAAAGGCAACAAGCCTCGGAGGGAATCCTCGATGCGCAAGGAGCTGGGTGCTACTCTGAGCAGTCAAATACCCCCGAGACCCCTTCGTGCCTTGTCTCCGAGTCAAGAGGATGGCCGTTCTCCAGAATCGCCTGTCGAAACTCCTGCCTTTTCAGAGGATAGCCCGCAGGACATACGGTCTTCCCCCCCTATGCCACGAACAGAATCTTTCATGCGGTCAAGTCCTCCTTCCAGTCCTGTTTTGCCACCAATGCCCTCCCTACCACGACAAATGTCGAGCTTTGCGGAGAATGAAACAGACGACTTGTTGGATGAGCCTGTCTTGGCAACTGCCAAAGAGGGCCAGACTTATAGCCAGCCTAAGACACAGAAAGTAATGGAAGACGTGGATAATACCGGAATTCCAACTCAAGTGTTCAGGATCGAAGATGGGCCAGAAGGCCAAGGGCTCGTCCATATCCAGAACTTCAACACCCCTTACCCAACCTCAACTCCTGCTGGTCCCCCTCCATCAGAACCCGTTACCGCGAAGAAAGTTGCCATCCCTAGATTAGTTCGAAATTCTTCTCAGAAACGACCTGCAAGCTCAAAACCACAACCACGGAGCTATGCACCAACACCTCCTCCTACGACAGATGCTCCAGAAAAGGATAGCCCAGTCCCTACCACTGCATCCTTGCTGCCTGATTCTACTCAGCCGCAGGGCAACCAAGCTATAGAGGCAATGGAAGAAGATGCCCTCTTTGAATTAGTGCGCGCAGTCTCTAGTTCCTCTGAGCCTAATGCTTCAATTTCAACTAACCAATCTACTGAAGGATCTCTACCTACTTCAAAATCAAGTACTCGTGCCATCGCACCAAAGCCCCGCCCCTCGCGACCACTCGGCAGATCACAATCCGCAGGAGTTCTAGCTTTGCCATCTGTACCGGCAAGCGAGCCAGCCGGGCCATCTTCTCTATCACAGTCTGTCCTTGCGGAACCGCCCCGTGCTTCTACAGATACCACAACTTGTCTTCGTCGTTCCAAATCGGTCAGCGTTCCCAAACCGATTGCTGCCAGTGACCCTTTGGGACCGCCTGAGACATATTTGATTACAAACACTCTACCTACTCTGTCAGAGGCTATCTTTCCGCAGAGCGATTTTCCTCCTATGCCCTCGTCCCCGCCCTATAAGTCCAACAAGAACCAAATCAAGAAGGACTCCATTAAACAGAGGCTAGAATCTGCAATCGCAGCTGGCGAGATGCCTCCGTTCTGCACTAACTGCGGTGCCATTGAGACCCCGACCTGGCGCAAGATTTGGGTTCAGGAACATGACGGAGCACCAGAGAACGTGGAGTACTCAGAGAAGCCTGGCCGGGTTACTGCCATTGAGATTCTGAAACGGGATAAGGACAAGAACCCTCTGTCCCATCGTCTTATCAAGAAAACGCTTGGTTTTGGTGATGATCGAAATGACTGGTCAGAGAAACTGCTCTGCAATCCCTGCGGTATATGGATGTCTAAATATCACAACCACCGCCCACAGGATAAGTGGGATAATGGGCTTCTGGGCCAGAGTCGAAAGAAGCGGGGATCTGCTGGCCCTGAGTCGCAGGCAAAACGTGCCCGTACTAAGAGTTCTTCGGCGCCCCATCCTCCGTCAGAAGCCTTCCCAGTCACAGACTCCGTTGGACCGGTCGAGCGTTCATCCCCTAAGCAAGCTGATGTTATCTCTATGGGATCACGAGTTGATGAAGATGCAGCCATGCAGAATGTCTTTCATTTACTGGCGGCTGATGGGCATCATACTAAAAGCATGACCCAGTCAGTACCAGGCTCTTCCCATTCCCGGGCTTCCAGAGGTACCGGGACTGCTGACAGTCCCATCGAGATGGACCTTGATGATGAGTTGGGAAGCACTCGACGCCTGCTCTTCCCCTCACCCCGTAAGGAGGGTACACCGAAGACCTTGGGAGAGATCGATGCCAACATGACTAAGACAGCGGATTGTCGGCAAAACAAGGAAATCTGTGGAAAGGAGAATGCAGTTTGCGGTGCTCAGAACGAAGATCTCATCATGGATGATGATATAGAGGCGCTGTTTAACAGCCCAGTTCGTC